TCTGCTGTCATCCTGGGTCTGTCTGCTGTCATCCTGGGTCTGTCTGCTGTCATCCTGGGTCTGTCGCAGGTCACCCGCCGGCTCAGGGAGGTTCCCCCAGGGACAGTTTACTGGCACATGTTTGTGGAGCAGCTGCTGTGCCCAGGTATTGCCCTGAGAGTAGAAACAGCACAAGATGGAGGGCAAGGTCCTTTGCCTGGACCTTGCAGTCTCTTGCGGGGGAACGTCACAAGCAGGTGAACAAGATGATTTGAGAGTGGTGAGTGCTGGGAAGGAACTCAAGCAGAGTGGGAAGAGGGCGCTGCAAGGGTGAGGGGAGGCCAGGGCATCTTCAGATGCGGTGGGCAGGGCAGGCCCCTTCAGGGAGACAGGTGGCTGGGCCGAGGGCTGGACCGGAGCCAGGCAGAGCTGGGGGAAGAGCAGTCAACAGCCACGTGGAGGACCAGTTCCCCAAAGGAAGAGCCTGTAAACAGGAGGGAGGAGTGCTGAGACAGCAGCGCTGGCAGCTGCTGACACGAGTGTTCGATTTAAAGCACAAAGGGCATTGTTGCCCCAGCAGGGGAGTGGGCCCTCACTACTCGGAGATGCCCAAGGGAAGACAGCGTGTCAGGCCACTCCTGCCATCAGCAGCAGCATTTCCAATGCGGCAGCCTGAACACCTGAAACTAATATAAAATATGACTGGATGTCAACTGTAATTGACAATTATTTTTAAAGAGCAGCCTGAAGGCCCCCCAGCTGAGGGAGGCCTGAAAGGGTTACAGGCACCAGAGAGGCGGGAGTCACAGGGAGAGGGCTGTCCCCGCTCGCTCGATTCTTTTTTTCTCTCTTTAGTATATGTTTATTGATTTCAGAGAGGAAGGGAGAGGGGGAGAGAGAAACATCCAGTCATGAGAGAGAATCATTGATCGGCTGCCTCCTGCATGCCCCCTACTGGGGATTGAGTCCACAACCCAGGCATGTGCCCTGACCGGGAATTGAACTGTGACCTCCGGTTCATAGATTGACCCTCAACCACTGAGCCACACTGGCTGGACCCCACCTTGATTCTTCTCATGCTCAAAGGAATGAATTCAAATGAGTGACTCCAGATAATTTTGTTGTGATAAAGGCAATTTCTTTTTTAAAATAAGCATTTATTAAAGAAACAAGGCAAACAAATCTACTAAACTACATCTGAGCTGGAACTCAGATGGGCTTTCCCAACGAGTTTGGACAAGCAAGTCTGGTGGGCATTCCAAGGGTTATATACCCTTCTGTCTATAGATCAGCGGTTCTCAACCTGTGGGTCGCGACCCCTTTGGCGGTCGAACGACCCTTTCACAGGGGTCGCCTAAGACCATCCTGCATATCAGATATTTACATTACGATTCATAACAGCAGCAACATTACAGTTATGAAGTAGCAACGAAAATAATTTTATGGTTGGGTCACAACATGAACTGTATTTAAAGGGCCAGAAGGTTGAGAACCACTATTCTACAGAAAGCCACTGTTCACCTGACAGCAGCAGGCTTTATCCCACTCTGGGCCCTCGCAGCTGCCCTTGGGATTCATGCTGTCCTGTCTCCACCCACACCTTGATCAACAACGAAAATAATTTTATGCTTGGGTCACAACATGAGGAACTGTATTTAAAGGGCCAGAAGGTTGAGAACCACTGCATAGATTTTAAATTCCTTTGCTAGATCTCCTGGTACAGGTTAACCCTGAAGCTCTCTCTCCCTTTTACTTTGTTACGGCTTTCCCAGAATTTATGAGAAGCACCTGGCAATTAAATCCCAAAACTGCTGGCTTCTCTGTTCAAACAGTGGGATGAGATAAGACTGCCCTCTTCCTCCCGCCTCCCAGCCCCGTCTGTTAGTTTCAGGGCGATCTAAGCTGTGTATTCTCTAGTTGCATTAAGGTTCCTTCCCTTCTCCCCCTCCGCTCCCCCTTCTCGACAGCATTCTTTGGAGAGACAACCATTTGCTCTCAAGCTCCCTGGCTGGGGGAAGATAAGGGCTTGCTATTTACAAGCTGGTTGCAGGCTGCCAAACTGCTTGGCCTTGTTTAATTTTGTCTCAGGTTCCCTATTCCTCCTGCCTTGGAATTTTTCTTGCTTTTCGCTGAAATATGCAAAGCGGTGGATGCCTGTGAACTTGGTCCAGGCTAGTGGCTGAACTCACCCAGAAGTTGAGGGCACTCCGGCCAGCAGGCACTCCTCAGCGTGTGGGACCAATTTGCCTGACGGCCCTTTCTTTCCCCTGTGTCTTCAGCTGGTGCTGCACCTGCTGCTTTGCAGATGGAGTGCTGCATGCAGACCCTTTCATGAAGGTGTGAAACAACCTCCCCCTCCCCCAGTGTGGGAACCAGTGTGGCAGGGACAGAACCCTCAGGGTCACCTCCTCAGTGTCCTGAGGTGCAGTCTCTGGAGGGGTCACCTGCCAAGGAAAAGAAGGTGCTGTCCGCTGCAAAAACACAGGTGACAGTAAGTACAGCGTCTGCCCCGGGGGCGAGGGGCGTGGGGCCTAGAGTGCAGGATTTCCTGTTCTGTCCAATGTGGTGAAGTCTGAAGCCTTCCCTGCCCGCTTCCTGGCCTCAGGCCACTCTGAGTAGGTCCCTCTGGAAGCGTGGAGAGGAGCAGGGACAGCTGTGGGAGGACACAGGGCTATGAGGCCGCTCACGGAGGCCACGCACGAGGCTCCGTTCATGGTTGTACCTGGGAAGCAGAACCTGCCAAGGCTGTGGAAAGAGAGTGGAATTGTGCTCCTGGTATTCCTCACCCCTGACACGAGGGCCATCCCTGATCTTGAATACTAAGGGTCTACGTTGGTTCTGTGCTTTCAAACGTACCCAGGTTCTTGCCCTGGCCGGTGCTCAGTGGTTAGAGCGTCAGGCTGTGCACAAAGGGTCACAGGTTTGATTCCCGGTCAAGGGCATGTATCTGGTTTGTAGGTTTGATGCCGGACCACCAGGCTATGACATGCACTGGCGCCAGGCCAGCCAAGGCGGGTGCGATGCGATTG